GTCCATAACGCAGTCACTGCATCAAGTTATTTACATAAAGATGTCGTAAGAAATATAGGTTTTGTGCGTTTATGGACACTTGTATCATGCATCAGAAACCTAAGGACTTCAGAAAATGTATCAAAACTTCATGAAGAACCGTCTTTCCATCAAATCAATTAATTTTATATCTTTTTCTGAGGGAGAGACGAAGAATATGAGAAAAAACAAAACGTATATGCATTAGCATTTACCAATTAAAAAAAGGATATTTTATGTGTAGATCCAAATGAGACACAAATCAATGATACAATAGTTATCTGAAAGAAGAAAATTACCGGCTTAATTGGCTACTTCTTTCTCCAAATAACTCAAAAATAAGAGGAAGAATGTAATAGATTTTACCAAAATGAAATGATGTTATCTGCATATCAAATAATACAATGAGATGACAAGAAAAATCAGAAAAATGAAAAGGAAGTACGTTGAAAAGGAAAATTACGATCGATTGAATACCATTAGTAAAGCCAAAGAAACTTGAAGCTCATCATTTACCTTAGAAAATATGAGTGCAATGAAGAAAAGAGGTCAGCCAAAGCGGAAATGGGACTGGAACAGCAGCTGTTAATTCTGCAATAAAAGCAGTTGGTTAGTTATGCAGTTTTAACTAGCTATTGTTGTTTGCAGCTTCAAAGAATGCAACATAGATCAATTGTACAAATTAAATTAAAGTTAACTGAAAGAAGAAAATGTACCTTGAATGACGAAAGACAGGATAACATTGCTGTCTTCTCCACAGATTGCTTTGAAGTACTTTCTAGCTACTTCCAAAATCAATTTTTCACTACATGTAAAGTAGAAACAAAAATGCTATAGGGTTAAAAAAGAAGAAAACCGATATCTAATCCTCTGGAAGAGGGAGAGCATAGTCCAAGGAAAAGATTATGCAATATATAGGAAAGGAAAGTGAAAAACAAAGATTTCCTGGTTTGAAAATAACAGGATTGCATGTAAAATTGTTTAAATATTTTAATGAATTTTTATGGCATGTTAATTTATTAAGAATATTTAAGTTTTTTTTTTTTTTTTTATTTATGATATTTTAATTTTCAAAAGATCTTGATTTTTCTCAATTCTATAGTGAACAACAATAGATAACACTAAAATTTCGAAACTAAGTCTTATTATTTAAAATATTAAAAAGAAACCATATACTATTCTAATGAGAAACTCGGGCCATTTTCCTCCAGGTGCAGCTGAAAACATATTCGGATGCAGAGCATTCGTTTTCATTTTAATGAAAAAATATAAATTATAATATTATTTAATAACCGTATTCTCACAAAGTGAAAGATAAAAATATATTTTTAAAATTGTCAAATTATATATGTATATAACTACTCGAGTCAACTATAATACATGACCGTATTTTCTCTTTCAGTGTATTGAAAAGATCAAACAAAACTACAAATACTTACGGAGGATGAAAAGCAACTCAAGCCTTAATTTTTTCGTTCTAGATCAGCTGGAAACATTTAGATGCAAAGGCGCAAAGCAGCTTGGAAGATCCACTAACTCTGGTAATTTAGAATGGATACCATATCTGAATTGTTGATATTTTTCAGTAGAAAAACACAGCATACACATGGACCATCATGAGGCAATTTATAACCTTTCGTGAACCAGAAAGAACAACTATTGAATCAGAAGAGGGCAAGAGTTTATTTGATTGTGTAGAGGTGAGAAAGTTAACCACGTGCATCAGTGGATATTAGACATTTTGTGCTTATCTCTTTGAGACTGGACCGTGATAAATTGCCTCACAGCATCGTAAACAGGTGTTTCATTTTTCATTTCTTAAGTTCATTTTGACGAGATCATCCTTGCCGTTGATTTTAAGTTTTTGGGTTCTAGTCTTTACTATCTGGGGTCGGTGGGTACCCGGAGAATCTTAACTCTGTCACATCACTGCTACTTTTCATGCATATGGACTGTAACAAATAGCTTTCTGCTTATTTTCAAAAAAATAGCTTTCTGCTTGACTCGACTTGCCCATTCTTGTCGTTGATATTAAGTTTTTATTCTTAGTCTTTACCACGTGCATCAGTGGATATTAGACATTTTGTACTTATCTCTTTGAGACTGGACCGTGATAAATTGCCTCGCAGCATCGTAATCTTATGGTGCCCTTTTCTCACGTATCGAATTCATTTCATTGGGTGTTAGATATTCGCTGCAGATTTCTTTGCCTTTTTGCCTCGTTGACTGAGGTACTTTAATTTAATCAACCTCAATTCAAAACCAACCAAAAGACCACAACCAAGTGGGACAATGTGCGTGTGCCTTGTCACGCAAC